TCGTCGTCGTCGTCGTCGTCGTCGTTGTCGTCATGGTCGACGTCGATACCCCGACTATCGGCGGCTGCCGCGCTTCGCGAGCGTTGCGAGAGGTACGAGTCAAAGTACTCGTCTTCCGAGTCGGCGTCCGCGCCCTCGCCCTCGATCTTGGGATCCTCCTGCTCCTCGTCCAGCTCGCGGCCATCATCGACCTCGGCCGGGAGATGATTGTCCAGCTGAGCGGCCGGGTTGATTTCCACCACTCCATCATCCGCGTCTTGCTCGTCGTGATCCTGTTGCGATGCGGGAGGTCCAAAGCGGACGCGACCCGGACGCGGCACGTCGTCGCCATCTACCGGCCTGGCGAGCGCAACCTTGCCCCCACCCTCGCCTGGGCTGGATGCCTCTTGCTCTACGCGTCCCTCTTGGCGCTGCCGCATCTTCTCCGCATACGCCTTGGACGGCCTTGCGTGCGGCACTGCGGCGGGCAAGCCCATGGCCTGCCTGCGCGCGCTCAGCTCGTCGTCGCCCATCGATGCGCGATCGAGCGCCGACATGCCCAGCGACTCGGTCGGCGCCGTCGGCACTCTCGGCCCCGGTGCGTTGGGCACAAACTTAGGCTTCTGGCTGAGGAACCCCTTTTTGAACGCGCTGAACTTGGTGGCTCCATTCGCGGCGCTCTTCACCTCAGCTGCGCCACCCGTGGCTTTGGGACGCTCCATGACCGCATGTCCGAGAGCAGGCTTTTCCGCCAGCCGCTGCATGCGCTCCTTTTCGCGCTGCTCTTCTTCGTGCTTCTGCCGCGCTGCGACGGCCTCGGGCGTCGAGAGGCGCTTGTCCTCCTCGTGAGCCTGCTGCATCTGCCTCAGCACGTCCGTGGGCGGGGCGCTCGGATGGCCCTCGACCACATCGGGTCCGAGCAGCGCGACGATGCGCTCCGCCTCCTCCTCGACACCCACATCGTCGCGATGTCGCTTCTCGGCGGTGCCGGATCCCGAATCCACACGTGCGGAAGCCGCGTCCGCCGCTGTCGATGGCTCTGGAGTGGCGTCGGCGTAGTTCTCCTTGACGCGGATGCTCGATCTCAGCGCGCGCTGGAGCGGTGTCAGGCCCGAGCGCGCCGAAGCTTCGGGATGGGCGCGCTCGGGCGACTTGATGCGCACGCTCTTCTTGGTGGGCGTGCTTGTGCCGCTCGTCAGTGGGCTGGATGCAGCATCGGTGACACGACCCAGGAGCGACGTTTCGGCCGTGCTGCTGGTGCGGCTGAGCGGAGTGGGTGTGTGGCTGCGCGACGGCCTTTCTTGGCCGTCCTCCTTCTCGAGGTCTTCCCACGAGTACGAGCTCTTGATGGCGCCAGGACTGGACGGGTTGAGGTTGAGGAATCCGTGACGGATGCCCGAAGCCCCGAACGACGGACGTTGGTTGATCGGCGGCCGCGCCAGACCCATCTTGAGCGCCGACTTGGCAGGCGGTGGTCGCGCGGCCGACACGATCTCGGGCAGCGACTTGGCGTGGGCTTGGTCTTCGGGCGAAGGCGGCGGACTGGGCGTTCGAGTGCGCAGCACCACGCGTGTCTCTTCCGCGGCGTCGATTGCCTCGTCTTTCCGTGTAGCGGGCGCACTTGAGTCTGCGGCGGAGGTACTTGGCTGGGCAGCAGCATCGGCATCGTCGTGTTCCTCTTCCTCTTCCTCTTGCTCTTCTTCCTGTTCGAGCTTGCTGAGAGTCTGCTCGAGCCAGAGCCTGCGCTTGTCCTTGTCGGCGGCGCGCTCGTCGTTGTCGCGCACAAACGGCTGCATATACGCCTCCTTCTTTTGCGCCGCCTCTTCGTCCGACACTTTTTCGATCGGCTCAAAGAACGGCAGGCCTTCCTCGTTGAGCGCCTGGTTCTGATCGTTGACCATGTGCATGTCCTTTGGTTGTACCTCGTCTTGCTTTCTTCCGCTGTCTGGTGCGATGCGATCGCGCAGCTGGGCAGCATGCTTGAGGAAGCGACTCCGACGTGTCTGCAGGTGGCTCTGCGCGTCCTTGATGGATGTCTTGACGTACGCCACCTCAATCGTCCGGCTCGGTTCGCTGAGCCTGACCGAGCTGGTGATGCGCTCTTTCCCGGCTGGTCGAGTGAGCGTTGCTAGTGCAGCATCCTCGAGCGCAAGCTGGTCTGTTATCGATAGGCCCGCCACATCCTGTCGGACAAACACGCCTGCGTCTTTGAGATGCAGCTGTGCGGGCCAGAATGCAAGTGCACCCAGCGGCTGCAGGATGCGCGAGGCATGCTGTGCGGATGACTGACCCGATCGCAGCTCGTGCGCCACCTGGATGTTGTCGAGCTGCAGGCAGATGCGCTCGAGGTTTGCAGCGGCACTCTCGAGTCTCGCCAGCACGGTGCGGTCGGATGAGTGGGTGGCGGTGCGCAGACGACCATAGTGCGCCTTGAGAAGTGCCTGTGCTGTCTCGGACACTTCGGTCGGGTCGCCCCCCGCTGCGGCGCGAGAGGACAGCATGGTCAAGGTCCGCAAGAGGTAGTGCGACGTTCGACCAGCAGCTGCGTTGAGTTGTGTGGGTGGCCCTCGTGAACTTTCTTGGCGATTGTATTTGTGTGCATTCCAGGTGCTCCGTGATCCGTGGGAGTTGGAAGTCGGGGACGATGCCAGGAACGATGGTGTAGGTCGGCAAGGAACGGGCGGTCCAAGTGGAGGTCCCAAAGGCGCAAGTCGGAAGCCGCTTCTCTCTCGACTTTGCCCCGCTGAGCCGGCTCGAAAGCGAAAAAAAGGGTCCAACCAAAATTGGCCAAAAAGGACAGAAAAGAAAAGCAAAAATTGAGTTAGTTTGTTCTATGCCCCAGCCCAGCTCAGTGGAAAGTGCACACCAAAAAAAAAATCAAAAAAAAATCGAAAAAGAACGGAGGAAAAGGAGAATCGACTCCGCATGTCGGTCTCCACGATTCACTCCGCCCTCACACGACCAACGCATCGCCCTCGCTCTCACCAACCACAGCCACAAACGCTCCTGACCACCACTACCAAGCCTGAGTGAGAAACATGCATGCCTTACATTGAATGCAAGACTTCGAAAACGATTGAAAACCAAAACTTTGAAAACTGGATGCGTCTGAACAAGGCGATGCGGCTACGACAAATGGAAACTGGTGGAACCCTCCTTCATGGCGGTATGGAGCCGCTCGCGCATCTTGTCGCGCGACGAGTAGCTGGGCATCTTGAGATAGTTGACGCACGTCATCACGCTCGGCAGGTAGTCGTCCGGCGTCAGCGGGGCCTCGTGCGGACGCTTGACGATCGTCAGCTGCGGATGCAAACCTGCAAACCCGCCGATCGGCAGCTTGGGTGAGCCCGTTAGCCACTGCAGGAACTCGCGCCGCTCGTCCGCTCCAAACGACGCCATGATCGCCACAATGTCGCGGAAGCTCGCCGAGTCGGCATTGAGGCCGTGGTCCGGCTTGATGCTCGCCACCAGCGTCGACTCGCTCCAGTCCTCGTCCGTGTTGCCAAACAGCATCACCAGCTCGTCCGCCGTGAAGCTCGACATGGCCGAGATCGGGAAGATGAGGTTGAAGCCCTGGCGGAACGCGCGCACCGCAGGTCGGATGCCTCGCTGCAGCGTCATGTCCAGCACCTCCGAGACGTACTGCTCCACGTTGGCGCCCGTCACCGACTCGTCGCGTCCACCCGCATGCAGCTCGATCGCCTCGTAGCCGGGCAGCGTAAAGTCGAGGCCCACCGCCTCCACCTCGTCCGGCTTCATCTCGCGCAGCGATGCCAGCGAGCGGGCCAGCGTCGCATCCACCGCCGACAGAGTCGCCAGCGTCGGTGCCACGTGCTGGTTCAGCACCGCACGCATGAACACCGCCGAAAAGTTGCAGTCGATGATGCGAGAGTCCAGCAGCGCCTTGGCCACAAATTGGCCCAGGATGCGGAACGCCTGCAGCCGCTTCGACGCCGAGTTGGATCCGCCCTCGGCGCTGGCACTGGCCGTCGCCGCCTTGGCTTCACCGCCTTGAGCGGTGATGAGAGGCGCCGGGAACAGGCCCTGCGGGCTGAACACATAGGCGCTGCCGTCCTCGGCCGAGCCGCCTGAGCGGCTGTCGCGCCACAGCTCCAGATCGCGGCGTGCAAACTCCTTGGACACGAGCGAGTAGAACTCGAGCGTCGGTCCGAGTCCCGTGCCCACCTCTTCAAAGTACTCGACCTCGAGCACCGACGAGTTGGAGCCGTACAGCTCAAACACCTTGAACGCCGACGCCAGCAAGTTGGCGCGCGAGATGCGCACCTTCTGGCGCTGCAGCCGACCCAGGAAGCCAAACGAGTCGTCGAGGCGCGACGCGCTGCTGCCGCCGTCCTGGTTGCGGCTGTGCAGCGCCTGCCAACGCGTCAGCAGCCGCGCATACCCAAACGACGTCGACTGCAGGAAAGCAAACCGCGCCTCGAAGGGGAACAGGAACGGAAAGTGCCGCGGCAAATCCGTCGACCACGCAGGCAGGCACGCCGAGGCAACGATGAGCGGCTCCTCCAGCTGTCGGTTGAGCTTGGCGGTCAGCTTGTTGTTGACGAATGCCGACTCGGCCAGCGCTCGCGCCGAAGTCGTGGGGACCTCGTCGCCCGAATCCGACACACCGCCAGCAACGCCTGCACGCGTCACCTCGCGCCACTCCATGTTGAGCGAGTGAAGCACGGCGAGCAGCTGGAGCAGCTTGGCATACGGTGCATCCTCCTTGATCGAGGCAGGCAGCTCGATCGCTGCGCTCTCCGCCAAAGTCGGCTCCGGAGTCGACTCGGCCTTGGCGCGCTCTTCGGCCCCGGACACCTTCTTGAAGCGGACAGTGTAGACGTTGCTCCAAATGTGCTTGCCTCCGGCGCTAGCCAGCGAGCTGCCCGTTCCAACCGAGCTCTGGCTCGCATCGCGAGTCTGGGCCGTCTCGTATCGGTGGACGGCACCGTAGACTGTGGTGTCGAGCGAAAGGCTCTCGGATCCAAGCGAGAACTCGAGGTGCCAGTCGGTCGGCTTCTTCTGCAAGGCGGATGCATACGAGGACGGCTTCGAGGGGCTGGGTGTCGAAGACGAGCTGGCCGCAGCGGCGCCGGTGGAAGAAGACGCTTCGGCCGGCTTGGGCGTGCCTGCGCCGTTGCTAGGCGTGGCGATGCGCGTGCCCTCGGGAGTCTTGGCGACGATTCGGCCGCCCTCCTTCTCGACATCAAGGTTGATCGTCTTGTCGGCAGCGTCTGCACCATCGCCCGCGGTCGCACTTGCGCCCGTTTCACCGTCGACTGGGATCTCTCCCTGCAGAATCTCCTCGTCAAAGCCTTCTTCGTCGGAGAAGCCCTCCTCGTCGTCAAAGTCGGCGCCGTGAAGCAGACCCTCCATGAGGGAGCGCGCAAGCGCCTCGTCCGACTGCAGCTCGTCGCCGGCAGCGTTCGGACCTTTGGCTTTGTTTGCGCCCTCGCCACTCTCTGCCGGCGGCTCGTCGTCGCCGAACAGGTGGCGGGCCAGGGCACGTGCCTCGGCACGGGCTTCCGATTCCCCGTCTTTGTCAGCTAGGGCAGAGCCAGAGGCCTCGCCGTCTTTGCCGTCGTTGCTATCGTCACCCTCTTTCGACGTGGACTCGGCCTTGTCCGCTGCAGCAGACCCTTCTGCACCATCTCCAGAGCCGGCGGCTTTACTACCTTTCGCCTCCTTGTCGGCGGCCTTGTCGGTAGAGCTCGACGCCTTGGCCTCCTTGCTGCCACCCAGCTCGGGGAATCCGCCGGAGCCAGTAGCTGCCGCAAAGGCTGCCAGAACCGACGAGAGACGCGACGGGGCCGATCCGCCGGGTCCAGCACCCGAGCCAGCGGCGGCGGTCGACACTGCGATCTTGGGTCGCAGGTAGTCGCTGAGGGACTGGAAGGTGGCGACGGCATGAATGGTGACGATGATGTTGTTGCAGCTGCGCGGAATGTCGGTAGCGTCCTCGGCCTGCAGTCGCAGGCGAAGCTGACGACCGAGCATGGCACTCGGGCTCTTGCGCGCATCGTCACCGCCGGCACTGAGTGCTGTCGTGATGTCTACGTTCTCCAAACGGCTCAAAGCCTCTTGCAGCCTGCGCACCAGCACGGTGGCACCGTTCTGGTTCGACTTGTCGTCGTTCTGCATGAGCGTGCGAACGAGCAGCCAGCGCCTGCGGTCGAGGGCGATGCCTCCGTCGCTCTGCGTGGCAAAGGAGTAGAGCGCCTCGACCAGGCCGGAGCGGAGCAGCTCGAAGCTCGAGATGGGATCGTCGTTCCGAGAAAAGAGCGAGCCCACCTGCTGCAGCACATCGATCGCGTCTGATTCCTTGCCATCGGCGGCGGCGGCGTACAGTCGCTTGACCAGGTCCTTGATGTGGTCAAGGGCCTGTGCCGCACTGCGAGCGCCTCCCGACGAGTTGGCCTCTGCAGCAAACTTGTCGCGCAGCACACGAGCGCGCCAGATACTCGCATCCGTCGCGTCGGCCGCGCTCTGGGCGTTGAAGGCGGAAGCCGAGGACGACGACGAGGCTGGGCGGAAGCCGAGCGCTTCCATCTGGGCGCTGCTCGCGCCGGACCCGGCCGCGGCGGCGAGGAGCCTCGCAAGGCTCGAGCCGGAAGACAGGCCCACGTTGGCACCGCCCACACCCAATTCGGTCTGCGAAGCTCCGGAACGCGGCAAGGTCAGCGGCTCGGCGCTGGAAGCGGTGTCCGTGGATGCGCTTGCAGCGGCCGCGATGGCCTTGTCCGATGGTCGAGACGAGGGAGTCTGCGAGGCAATGTCGTCAATCTCCCACATGACGCCCTCGCGACGGAGCAGAGCCGTGTAGAGGGACGGCAGCTTCTCGGTGAGCAGCTCGACGATCTGAAGAGCACCGACGGCGAGCGTCGGGTGCTCGCGCGACGAGAGAATGGCGGCCAGGAAGCTGGCGAGGGGCACCTTGTCGAGCGCCTCGGCAAGCGAGTCTGGGTCGACGAAGCTGATGATCTTGAGGATGCCGTTGATGGCCTTGTGGCGGACGTGGAGAGCGACACTGGCGGCGTAGACCTCGACCAAAGTGGGCAGGACCAGGAGGGTGAAGCGCTTGACGAGGGCGGTGCGGAGATGCAGCATCTCGACGCGCTTGGTCTGTGCCGCATCGCGTGCCACTTCCTTGTCCGACTTGGTGCGGGGTGCCTTGCTTCGCGTCGAACTCGAGCGCGAGGATGACGGACGTACGGGCGTGGGAGCAGCACTGGTCCCTGCGTCGGTGGCATGCGGGGCAGTCGACTCGGCAACCGCCTGTTCCGCTTTGGTCGTCTTGGAAGACGCAGCCGAGGCAGATTCCGTAGAAGAAGAGCCCTGCTTGGCGGTCCGCTTGAGGTACGCCTTTTCGTTGTACGCACGAGGGTCAAAGACACCGTCTCTGGGCAGTGGCGGCAGCAGCTCGCCGATCAAGGAGAGAGCCTCTTGAATCTGCTCCTTGGGTCGCTGCGCAAGGTTCTGCAGGACAGCCATGTCGGCGACT